AGTGGTGTGCTGCAACATTCCCTCTCCAAGGTGTTCTTCAAAGCTGGGCTGCTGGGGCTCCTGGAGGAGATGAGGGATGAGAAGCTGGCACAGCTCATCACCCGCACACAGGCCAGGTGCAGAGGTTTTCTGATGAGGGTGGAGTACCAGAGAATGGTGGAGAGAAGGTACACATTCCTCATCCTCAGTAAAAGCCACTGTGCTTGGGGGAAAGTGTTGACACTTTTCAGACTGAAAATATTCATTGTACACATGAATTATGCTCCAGGGAGTCCATCTTCTGCATCCAGTACAACATTCGTGCATTCATGAACGTCAAACACTGGCCCTGGATGAAGCTGTTCTTCAAGATCAAGCCCTTGTTGAAGAGTGCAGAGTCTGAGAAGGAGATGGCCAACATGAAACAAGAGTTTGAGAAAACCAAGGAAGAGCTTGCGAAGTCTGAGGCAAAGCGGAAGGAGCTGGAGGAGAAAATGGTTTCTTTGCTGCAGGAGAAAAATGACCTGCAGCTCCAAGTGCAGGCTGTGAGTTTATCACCAATAATTTATCACTCAGAAAATGGATATGTACAATCAGACTGTTCTTATGAACAGAAGGTCAGATATAGAAGACCAAAAGTCCTATATTTGGGAAATTATCTGTCATATGTATGTGAAGGTAAGGAAACAAATGTCTGGCAGTGGTGTGGTGAGAGCACTGACAGCCAGGGCAAAGAAACAGGAGGAACTGGGAGCCAGTGCTCTTGTCTTCAGAGGAAAGGGGCAGATGTAGCTCACAAACATGACATACTCAGGGCAGAATGCAACCCCAATTCCCTCTGAGCAGGTGAGTGCTGCAGGAAGGATCTCCATCTCACCAGGATGGAGAACTATGAATTAATTTTGGAGCATAACTACAAACTGGATTTCAAAGTGGCACTCACTATGTTTTACACTTAAGTGGTATGAATCAAGGTCATAGATGAAATCTATAATGAAGCAGAAGTTCTTGGGGATTTTGAACATTTCAGAGCTTTTTTGCATTTCTAGTCTGGATTTCATATTGTAGTTCCAGTATAAACAACATCCTGTGGAAGTAAAATTATTAATATTTAAGATTGAGAGTTCCAGCTATGAAGTTGTCTTTATTAAAAGAATGCTCCTTTGTACTAAAAGCCATTTTTGCATAATATTTGTGTCAGTCCCCCAACATTCAGACACATCTCCCCCTCTGCTCCCTTTTCTCTGCCAACTGGTTGCAGAGGCCCAATTCATACACTGTATCAGAAAAAAAAAGGGGTGAGAAAACCAACTCTCTCAGTGTTAACAAAGACACGTATTTGGAGGGATGTTCTACTTAAGAGTTTGTTAACTGCAACAATTCTAAGGAAATGAACATTAAAGAACATGACTATGTGGAGAGACTGGTTTGTGGTGGAGCTTATAGGAATGGTACACCTAGTTTTATCTTCATCTATTTGGGGAACTGGAAACAATCATGGACAATTTAGCTTTTAGTTGAAAGAAATATTCTCTAAGTAAAGAACTTCTTGGCCAGAACTCTCAATCTCAGATATTAATAATTTTGCCACCACAGTTCTAAGAACCTTGTAGACACATAGGACTTCACAAAAATTGCTTAAAAATATAAGAAAAATATACTTAAATATCACTTTACAAAGTCATCTAAATCTACCCATTAAATAACCTAATTTGCTAACTAAAAATAGAACACTGTATAATTACAGTTATTTTAATATTTCCATAGAAAATAGGCACCTCGATGTTACCTGTTTTCCTCAGTATAAGGAGAAGAAGAAATATCCCATTGGACTTTCTTATATGTCATAAGATATTTGCCTTTCAAATTCCTTTGGGACAAAACAAATTCATGACAACAAAAGCCCATCAAAGAGTAAGACAAGGCATTGATCATCTGAAATCAGCACATGCCACCCCAAACACAGCATGGAAGGGACACACAGGGACCTGACTTACCCCACCTGACTAAGCATGAGCATTCCTACCTTTACAGAGGGAGGATTCTTATTTCACTTCAGTTATTGTTGAGACTATCAGACCCTTTATTCCGAACTTCATAACGGGTTCAGACGGATTCCGGTGCTGAAGGATATTTAATGCAGTGATTATGAACAGAAATGTCTCCAAGCCCCCTCTCCTATAGGTACATGAGAAATTCTCACACCCACCAAAACTCTGAGACACTTTTATGAGAGGGAATAGTTGAAAAATCAATATTGTTTCACCTCAAAAGCTGTATAATGAGTCCCAGGGAAAGAAACAAACCAACCACCAAAACCAAACACACAAACAAAAAAACAAACATCAAAACCAACCCAAATACAATCAACAAAATTAAAGTTGTTTCAACGCACACTTACTTACATAGAAAAGTTCAGAAAACAAATCCAGAAAATCTGTGTCACCCCCACAGGAAGCAGATAGCCTGGCTGATGCTGAGGAAAGGTGTGACCAGCTCATCAAAACCAAAATCCAGCTGGAAGCCAAAGTTAAAGAAGTGACTGAAAGGGCTGAGGATGAGGAGGAAATCAATGCTGAGCTGACAGCCAAGAAAAGAAAACTGGAGGATGAATGTTCAGAGCTGAAGAAAGATATTGATGACCTTGAGCTGACAC